TGCCGGCTGCTTTACTCAGGGGGGGAGGGGCTGTCGGGGGAGGGCCAGTGTGTACGTCCACCGTGTTGTGTTTGTCTGAGGCGCTGGTCAGCCGCCTGTCACCGACCCCGGCCTGGAAAGGGCGGGAAAAGGAAAAAGGCGGGAAAAGTGGGGTCACCTGACCCCAATCCGCCGGGCGACAAGAGGGCTGACAAGGGCCCTGACCCCCTCCAGGGCTCTGTGCAACTCAGGGGTGGGGGCACAGCCCATCTGAGCCCCTTAGTTCATGGGGGAGGCTGTTTGGCTCCACAGGCCGCCAGGTGCCTCTGTGCTGCCAGCCTGTAGCCTGGAGATCTCCCACCAGAGAGTGTGTCTGGGACAGGCTGCTGGGGGGGGGGGCAGCCCCACGCCCCACGCCTGTCGCTCTCACTGGGCACAGCGTGTCCCTTGTAGGTCCGCTGGGCCAAGTGTTTTTGGGAGTGTGTGTGTGGGCTCTGGGCTTAGCCCAGGGTGGGGGTTTAGAGTCCAGGAGGGGTTTCTGGGTGCAGCTCTGAGGAGTTTGATTGGAGGGGGACTCACATCTGGGGCAGGAGGTTCAGGGCTGGGAGAGGGGTTCAGGAAGCAGGCTCTGGCTGGGCACCATTTAACTGAGACGGCTTCCAGGTGGTGGAGCTGTGGGGTTAAGGCAGCTCAGTGCTGCCCTGGCCCTCACCACACGAAGCAGTTGGCACGTACAGCCATGGCTCCATGGCCCCATGCCCTGCCCCTCATCTACAGGCACTGAGCCCGCAGCTCCTACTGGCCACGATTCCCCGTTACTGATCAATGGGAGCTGCAGGAGCAGTGTCTGCAGGCAAGGACGGCCTGTGGAGGCCCCCTGCTCCGCCTCTCTCAGGGCTGTAGGGACATGCCAGCTACTTCCAGGAACAGCAATGGCCATGGGGTAATTACTCCAGCCACGACAGGTTCGGCATTTGAGAACTCACTGCTCAAAGAATGAAATGGAAGCGTCAGAGAATTAAAATGATGAAATGCACAGACCCATCAAAAAGAAGTAAACGTAAAAGATGTAACAACAACCTCCCACGTACATGTTGGGTCCGGAGATGAGAGGGAAAGACAGTGGGTGTTTGTGAGAATGACAGAGATTTGCATTGCTAAGATCCCTTCATCCCCTTCTCTCTGTGTGGAGATGGGGTACAGGAGCGGTGGGGAGGAGGGACACCCTGACATCACCGCCCCCCCTTCTCCCTCCCAGACCTGGCACAGCAAGCAGGAGGTTCCCAGGGGAGCAGCTCCAAGGCAGAGGACAGGAGAAGTAGGTGGAGGGGTAACTGAACTGCCAGCGCTTGATACTTTCCTGGCCAAACCAGTTAGGATCACCTGTCGGAGGCTCCAAGATCTACTAGTTGGTGACCACTGCCCTAGTGTGTTCACACTCAATAGGGTCCCTGAGTCCTAGATTCCTGAGCGGGGCTAGGACCTCACTGGGTTTGGGTGTTTTCATACCTCGTAGAATCTGATGGGAAGGTCAGTCTCAGTCTCCCAATTTGTACCATTGGGATGTGGAAGTGGCTTGGCCAACGTGGCAGAGCCAGGAATGGCACCGATGCCTCCTGAGACCCAGTCCCAGTCTCGATTGGCCCTGACTCCTTACACAGTGCACGTTGCACACAGGGACTGTCTTTCTTTGTACAGTGCCTGGCGCAGCAGAGTTTGAATTTCCCACTGGTTCTATCCTGGGAGGGGTGCCGGGGCTTGTTTTAAAGCGATGGCTTTCTCTTAAGTGAGGGCTCTAAGACAGGGTCCGAAGGGTCATTTCTATTTATGATTCGCAGCTTTGTGATCTCAGAGGACAGGTGGGGGCGGAGAGTGTAGAAGATACAGAGATAAGGGGCGTGAACTCAATACACACAGTTGCACGGGCATTTTGCTGGCAAATAGGTGCTCTCTGAGTCTCTGTGCTGGGTCCCAGTTCCCACCACCTGCTGCTGAGGTAAGTTGCCCCCTGATGGGTTTGAAGGGGAATTTCCTTGTTAAGTCCACTTAGAAGGCCCAGACATTTGCTATTGCAGAGGCAAGCCAGTGGAACTCCCTGCCACTGGATCTCAAGTGAGTTAGCCTGCGAAATACCATACCATAGTGTGAGGCAGGGTCCGACCAGCAGTTTTCAAACTTTTTTCCCACGTTCCAGTTGAAAAAAATTGTTGATCCTGCGACCCAGCATAATTTGACTGGAGTGCAGGCTGCGGGGTGGGGCTGAGGATGAGAATTTTGAGTGCAAGAGGGAGCTCTGGCTTTGGTGAGTGTGTGTGAGTGTATTTAAACTACATGGCTCCATCGATGGAGCCATGTAGATTAGGCTGATCGGCAAAGGGAAATGAAGCCACGATTTAAATAATCGTGGCTTAATTTAAATTTAAATGGCTGCTGCGCTGAGCCGACAAACAGCTGATGAGCTGTTTGTCGGCTGAGCGCGCTAGTCTGGACGCTCCCGCACCGACCTGAAAGCCCTTTATCGACCTCCCCATTATGCCTCGTAGGATGATGCCTCGTAGGAGGAGTCCAGACTGCCCCGATCTGCTGACAAACAGCTGATCGGCAGCGCGGGGCAGCCATTTAAATTTAAATAAAGCCGTGATTATTTAAATCGCGGCTTCCTTTCCCTCTGCCGATCTATCTAATCTACATGGCTCCATCGATGGAGCCATGTAGTTTAGACGTACCCTGTGTGTGTGTGTGTCAGGGCTGGGGCAGGAGGGGCTTACCTTGAGCGGCTCCCAGTCAGTGTTGCAGCAGGGGTGCTAAGACAGCATTCTGGCCTCTCCTGACCAGGCTGTGCCCAGCCAATGGGAGTGTGGCACCAGTGCTCAGGGCAGGCGCAGTCATGGAGACCTGTGCACTCTCCCCTCATCTCCCCACCATGTAGGAGCCGAGCCTGTTGCGGTCACTTCTGGGGCACAGCACAGTCTGTGGTGCCAGGAGAGGCAGGGAGCTGCCTTAGCCCCCCACCCTGCTCACCTGATCCCCCTGCAGCAGTGAAACCCAGCGCCTGACATTCCACCACCCAAGGCCTGTGAAACTCCTCCCCACTGGGGAGGACAGGAATTAGCCTGTGGGATTCTCAGCCACTGGAGAGCCGTGGCATTAACAAAGGGCATGCAACAGAGAGGTTAGTAGGTGAGACCCAGGATGTGGGTGATTTTGTTTCATGTTAATCTGCTGGGTAGTTCCCCATTTTTGCAGTCTAACCCCTAAAAGCCCACGGGAAATGACCCTGTACATTCTTACAAGCTAGGGGGAAGCAGCAATTGCTGGGACGGGCAGAGAAGCACAAGAGACAGGGGTGGGGGAAGGTTGGCTTCTTCTGCCTTGTGGCAGGGAGTTCCACAGACACAAGCTCTCACATACGTGGATTTGACAGCACTGATCCCCAGCGCACTGAGCAGGCCTGATCCCCTGCCTTGGGGCCAGGTTAGAACTGGCCACCCTGGAGGGGAAAGGCTTTGTGTTCCATTCCTTGGCCCCTTGAGCCAGTTAAGCATCCAGATGGCAGGCAAGTGGCATTCTGTGCATTTGCTCTCCTTGAGTGTCCCCTTCCCCTGTAGTAATCCCCCAGTGGCCCGCCCACTCACAGCACTCTCCAGCAGCAGTGAGTTCCATCAGTCGTAGCCCAGGTGTGATGAATACCTTTCCTGGACTGTCCGAATAAACAGAAGGGTCCATAGAAGCCCTCTCCTATAGTGTGTTCCTAACCCTTTTGGTATTTCTCTTCTCCTCTTTCATTCCCTTTCTCTTCCTCTGTCCTCCTTCTAGCCGCTCTTCTGTCTCTCCCCAGGGCACCATGGACCAAGGCAAAACCACCCTCCCATCAACCACAGAGGCAAACTCCAGCCAGAGCCCAGCAGCTTTGAGCCCTGCTCACCTGGCTGCGGCTGGGTTGCTCTTCATCACCTTCCTGGTGGGTGCGGTGGGGAACGGGCTGTACCTGTGGGTGCTGGGGCTGAAGATGAGGAGGACGGTGACCACGCTCTGGTTCCTCCACCTTATATCCTGCAACCTCCTCTTCACCCTGCTGATCCCCTTCTTTGCTGTCTACATCCTCCTGGGTCTCCACTGGGTCTTCGGCACGGCCATGTGCAAACTCCTCAACACGTTCGTCTGCGTGGGCATGTTCTCCTCCGTCTTCCTGCTCACCCTCATCAGCCTGGACCGCTACACCCTCATTCACAAACCCATGTGGTCCCGAAGCCACCGCACTCTGGCCCTGGCTGGGAAGCTTGTCGTGGGCGTGTGGCTGGTCTCCTTTGGTCTCAGCGCTCCCTACCTGGTTTTCCGGGAGACCCACGTGGTGGACAGGGACAGAATCACCTGCATCAACAATTACAATATCTCCAGAAACTGGAATGGAACTGAGACATGGGTTCTGGGGCATCAGATCCATCTGACCATGTTTGTGATCCAGTTCCTTCTGGGCTTCCTGCTGCCCTTATGCACCATTGTGGGATGCTATACCCGGGTGGGGTTGAAGATGAAGGAGAAGAGGCTGGCATGGGCTGGGAAGCCCTTCAAAGTCATGGTGGCCGCGGTGGCTTCCTTCTTCCTCGGTTGGCTGCCCTACCAGCTCTTCCAGAGTGCAACTGTCTACAGGAAGGAGTTGCCAGAGTCGGTGTCGGGTACTCTCTTGGTCATTTACATCATCACTGCTTGCTTCAATGCCTGTTTCTCTCCCATCTTCTACCTGTTTGTGGGGGAGAAGTTCTGGCTGGTCTTTAGGACGTCTCTTCTCACCCTGGTCAAGACAGGTTTTGTTGACAAACTCAGCAGCAGTGCTCCGACACTAATGGAGGACACGGGTGTGAGCTTGAGAACACAAAATGCGGTATGTCCTGAAGACTGAAGGAATCTTTGCCTTAGACTTAGGGAGAGTTGGAAATTTGGCCTTATTTGTTCATAGATCCCTGATATTTTAAAACCTGGTTTACATTCTTACAGGCTAGGGTGTATCTTACTGAGTCCCTGCTCTCCCCACAATTCCATATGTTCTAGGTCTCTGAAATTTTTCAGTTGGATGTGAGTGGCAGCAGATCAGTAGCCTTCTCCAACATTGTGTTTGCCTTAGTTCTTCCACTGTGTTCTAACCTTCTGTGGACGCCAGGACTCCTCAATTCACAAGGTGTAAGGGACACTGACTGGAGTGTTTGCGTCCATTGACCTCCTGCGGTGGAAACGGCACTGATGGTCAAATTAAAGTACATTGACTCCTGCTATGCAATTAACGATGATGGAGTGGTGTTTCTTAATTCGTCCTTCCGGGTAAGTACAGACAAGGCCCGAGTCTGCGAAAAGTCTCTTTTTAAATAAATGGCATGAATAAATGGGAATGGAGAAAGGCTGTTCACAGTAGTGACGGATGGCAGAACAAGGACCAATGGTCTCAATTTACAGTGAGGGAGGTTTAGGTTGGAGATTAGGACAAACTATTTCCCTAGGCAGGTGGAGAAGCACTTGGATGGGTTAACTGGGGAGGGGGTGGAATCTCCATCCCTAGAGATTTTTATCTCGACTTGACAAAGCCCTGGCTGGGTTGGTTTAGTTTGGGTATGTCTAGACTGCATCCCTCTGTTGGCAGAGGGATGCAGATTAGGCAGGTCAACACTGCAAATGAGGCAGGGATTTAAATATCCAGTGCCTAATTTGCATAAAAATGGCCATCATGTTTTGCTGACTCAGCACTTTGTTGGCAAAAAGCGGCAGTCTAGAGGGGGATCTGTCGAGAAAGAAAGCCTTTTTCGACAGATCCTGTAAACCTCCTTGTAAAAAAGGAATGTGGGATAATAACCCCACTCCTCCTACCCCTGCCTGGCTTCTGCGCAATCACAGGCTCCTAGCACTGATCGTGGCCCCGCCTTCCAGCTGCTCCCCCCGCCAACGCCAGGCTTCTGTCTGGTGCGCAGCCGGAAAAATCAGAGAATACTGGACATTGCACATTGCATAGTTTCTGATTTTTTTACTGGACAAAGAGCGCAAATACCAGACTATCCGGTAGAATACTGGACACCTGGCAACCCTGACAGCTGCAGTCCCTTTACTGTTGTGATTTGCTAAATTTGATCCGCTTATTTCTGTGTATGTGTCATCTTCGTATTGTGAGCTTTATGTAGCTCATGGTTGGGAGAAAGGCTGCCGCTGCCTCCACTTCATTTTGCCTTCAGTCCTGCTTCTCCCATATGTGCAACGTCTCTGCAAACTGATTCTCAGAGCAAAGGGCTGGCAGACCATCTGAGCCAAGGCTGTGGTACACAAGACAGCAAACTCACTGGTGCTGCTAGGAACTCAGAAGTCCTATGTATGCCTCTCATTACTCTGGCCGTTTGACAGCTCTTTCTTTTCTTTTCATTTCTAAGAAACCCTCGAGTTTAGAGTTGCCTGCAGTGCAGTATGGATCTGGTAACGAGGCTGGCCCTCGGGTCACCAGAAAAACATTTTGGGTTGTGAATAGAATTGTAACTTCCTTCTCACTTTACTGGACCAATTTGCTGATTGGCTGCCTGACTTTCTTTCTTTCTTTCTTTCTTTCTTTCTTTCTTTCTTTCTTTCTTTCTTTCTTTCTTTCTTTCTTTCTTTCTTTCTTTCTTTCTTTCTTTCTTTCTTTCTTTCTTTCTTTCTTTCTTTCTTTCTTTCTTTCTTTCTTTCTTTCTTTCTTTCTTTCGCTCTTTCGCTCTTTCGCTCTTTCTTTCGCTCTTTCTTTCGCTCTTTCTTTCGCTCTTTCTTTCTTTCGCTCTTTCTTTCTTTCGCTCTTTCTTTCGCTCTCCATTCCATGGCCTGTCTGGAGCTTGGCATTACTCTCAGTGTGGACTTTTCTTGGCACCCTGGAGGTCCCACTGTTACCAGATGTGCCCGTTACTCTGGGGCTTGCTCATTTATTGGGGTTTCACTTATGGGGGATGGGGAGGTTAATAATTCTACCCTTGTGCTACTTGTGCTCTCCTATGGAGCTGGATTCTCCCCACTGCCAGTTCTCTCCCAATGGAGCTCTCATGCAAGAACTAGGCTCCCCCAGGCTGGATTCTTCCCACCCTAGAATCAGAAGAACACACGGACACTCACACCCACAACCACAGTGTATCTGAGAGGGCTGGTTAATCAGCACTCACAAGCTGACCTTTGTTAAGTCCCTGACCTTAGCCAGCTGGTTGCACAGCAATGCCTGGCTGTGACCTTCCTGCGCCCTTGGACTCAATGGGCTGGTTAAACGGCACTTTCCGCTGCCGCTCTCATGCATCCCCAGGTTCAGCTCCTCCCAATCCCCACTTTCACCCCACCACCACCGTTGTGTTAGAGACCCTCCTGGCGAGCAAACCCCACAGGACTTTGGGGCACTGCAGGGATCCTTAGCTTAGGTGCAAGGAGTGTTGCCGCAGAGGGAATGGGGAAGCCAAAGCACCCCTGAGAGGCAGCACGTTAGTGAGATGAAAAAAAAAAACCCAGAGAGAGTGAGCAGGAGAGAAAAGCAACCATCTTAACAACGAAAGTGATTTATTTCTAGGTACAGTAGTAACCAGACAAGGGGAGACTGGCAAACAAAACAGTCACACTATTACACTGAACTGTTACACTATTACAGCTACATTTAATCTGATTACAAATGTATCTATCGCTTCACTCTCTCACTCACTCAGTCTATCTATCTGTCATAAAAGACAGGACTATGCAGCACTTTAAAGACTAACAAGATGGTTTATTAGATGATGAGCTTTCGTGGGCCAGACCCACTTCCTCAGATCAATTTGTGGAAGAACATTGGCACGACCATATATACCAAAATGATACAATCAAAAAAAGTGAACACATATAAAATTGACAAATCAAATTTTAGAACAGAGTGGGGTCTAGGTATATACAGGCAGTCCCCGGGTTACATACAAGATAGGGACTGTAGGTTTGTTCTTAAGTTGAATTTGTATGTAAGTCGGAACTGGTACATATTGTAGGGGAAACTCTAGCCAAACATTTCTCCAGAGCTCAGTTTTATTCTCCCACACCTCACTTCCCTCAGGCTTTATTCTCAAGCTGAGGTGTCTGCTGAGAAAAGCCGCTCCACCTCTCCCTGGTCTGCTGGGCGGGGGGAGGGGGACGCGCTAGCTTCGCATCTCCCTAGTCTGCTGGGGGGAAGTAGCTAGTGCGGGGGTGCCTCACCCCGGTTGTAAGTAGGGATCCGATGTAAGTCGGATCCATGTAACCCGGGAACTGCCTGTATTGCTTCTTTCACGCTGACAGGCATGAATACAAATATTAAGGCAAGACTACACAACACACAGGCCCCAGGGACCGCGGCGCGTCTCGGCGGTCTGCTGGGGGGGGGGCAGCTAGTGCGGGGTTGTCTCACCCCGTTTGTAAGTAGGGATCCAATGTAAGTCGAATCCATGTAACCCGGGGACTGCCTGTATGGTCGTGCCAATTTTCTTCCACAAATTGATCTGAGGAAGTGAGTCTGGCCCACGAAAGCTCATCACCTAATAAACCATCCTGTTAGTCTTTGAAGTGCTGCATAGTCCTGTCTTTTGTTTCAGCTACACCAGACGAACACGGCTGCATCTCTCTCACTATCTGTCATACACACACACAATAGTACTAACTAACTCATTTCTAGATATCTGGCTAGTTCTTGAAACTCTTGTGTTCTAAGTGACAGTGGCTTGAAACCCAATCAGATCTGTCCTGGCTGAGCACTTTAAGGCTATGTCTACACTCACGGCTTCTTGTGCTAGTAATATGCAAATAAGGCTAAGCATGGACTATCACCAAGCCTCATTTGCATAACTAATGAGCCACCATTTTTTTCATTTTGCCGTTCTTCCTGAAAAGTAATAGGTGTAACGGCATTGCGCAAGAGGGTTTTTCTTGCGCAAAAAGGGGCAGTGTAGACGCTCCTTCTTGCGCAAGAGCCTCTTCTGAAAAAAATGGTGATTCATTAGGTATGCAAATGAGGCTTGGTGATAGTCCATGCTTAGCCTCATTTGCATATTACTCGCACAAGAAGCCGCAAGTATAGACATAGCCTAAGAGTTCCTAGCAGCTACATATTTGACAAAATAGGATCCTGTGAATTCTAGATATGTGGCTAGCTCTAGAAACTCCTGGGCTCCAAGTTGCTCCATTTCAAACATCAAACAGTGGAAGCTAGAGCCTTTTAGAAACAGTCACAATGGAGTCAGCCCCCCTTTGTTCAACCAGGCCTCTCTAAGGGTGTTCCTCTGGGGAACCCCCCTAAAATAGCTGCCTGACAGAGAATCCCCAAGTATTCAGGAGTATTAACTCTGTAAGGGTATGTCTACACTACCCTCCTAGTTCGAACTAGGAGGGTAATGTAGGCATACCGCACTTGCAAATGAAGCCCGGGATTTGAATTTCCCGGGCTTCATTTGCATAAGCGGGGCGCCGCCATTTTTAAAACCCCGCTAGTTCTAACCCCATGCATCGCGGCTACACGGGGCACGAACTGAATCCCCAAGTATTCAGGAGTATTAACTCTGTAAGGGTATGTCTACACTACCCTCCTAGTTCGAACTAGGAGGGTAATGTAGGCATACCGCACTTGCAAATGAAGCCCGGGATTTGAATTTCCCGGGCTTCATTTGCATAAGCGGGGCGCCGCCATTTTTAAAACCCCGCTAGTTCTAACCCCATGCATCGCGGCTACACGGGGCACGAACTACCATTACTCCTCGTGGAATGAGGAAGCCTAGTTCGAACTACCTATTTCGTGCCGCGTGTAGCCGCGCTGCACGGGGTTCGAACCAGCCGGGATTTAAAAATGGCAGCGCCCGGCTTATGCAAATGAAGCCCAGGAAATTCAAATCCCGGGCTTCATTTGCAAGTGCGGTATGCCTACATTAC